TGACGTTCAAAAATACCATGTCTCGAAATAAATGTAATAGTCATGTTTTGAGCCAACGGACGTCAGTTCTAAGTTTTATTCCGGAACAGGGATGGAAACTGATTAACGTAATATTGTACAGTAGCTGAATAACACAAATCTAACAACATATAACATTTCATAATATTAACCCATCCAAAAACGTTTCTTGTATTTGTAAACATCAACTAATATAAATCTTTTTTTTTTGATTTAAAAAACATAATTACAATCTATACAACAATTCAATACAATAAGTAATTTTGATAGTATTTACATATCGAGAATGACAGATGGGGGAGGGCATTCAGTAGTGCCATCCGACTAAATATAGATCTATGATTATGAATAATAATGAATAGTATTCATGGTTTTTGATTTTAATATCCAAGACACTTCAGATACACATCTCAGCTACTACTGTAAGCATGCACAAAAAAAAAAAATCCTACATTTATTTAAGTCTAAACAAAATCAACTTCACGTGATTTTTTTCTCTCTGACTGAACTGGTATGTTGATGGAAATCAGTAACATAGTTGTCAACCGTTTCAACACTAAATCACAACGTACCTTATCTGATATAATTTTCTGCTACAGTGGTACGATCCATGACATCTATCAACAATAATAATACTAAAACGAATACGTGTTGTGTACACGTATTATAGGAACTCTCTGCGGGGCCTCGTTGTGGTGCATTTCGGGGCAAAAGAGTCAATTCAATAAAATATCTCCTTAAACACGTTAAACCGAGTGTGACGCATACTTCGGTCCCCGTGGAGTCCTAGTAGCCGGTGTAGGTCACACGTGCAACACTGATAAAATTTTGCCTGGCCTGGGCAAAGGTTTCAACAGTTGTCGCGTTAACCGAAGGTGACAGACGACGATTTGTCATGGTGCGTAACCTCTCGCGTAATTGGGTCGTCGCTTCTTCCTATATTCCTATCTATATCCCTCTCTTTCTATATATATATATATATATTTATTTATTTATTTATTTCCCACTCCTTCGAACGTTTTCTTTATACACATCCGTCAACCATATATTTCCCATTTCCTTTATTTTATTTCATCGTTCCGCGTATATTTGATTTATCTCCCATCCACAGCATTTTCTTTTCATCTGCGGAGCATACATTACCACGCGGTACATGACGTATGCATGAGGAACGTAGTACATATCACTCGAAGAGATATGTTAATGTGGTCGTTTTTCTCCCTTCCGTGGTATTTTCGCCTTCTGGCCATCATTTTGCACCTATACACGCTGTGTACCCCAAACGAGACCACTGTCTAATCAATATTTCGCCACGTTCATGTACTACACAACTATCATCTGGTTACGTGCCTCACAAGTAGCACCAAACTCTACTTTCAGCATTTCATCTCATCACATCTTTGTATCAGAGGGACCATTTTTAAACACAAAGCAAAATGTGTGGATTAGAGATAAACAGACAGAAAGAGGATAAAATATATAAATTAAAATAGACCTCCCTATTCGTTTATATTTATCTATTTTTCTATTTTTCTAATCTCCCCGTTGCGAAAGTGAAAAGAAATATGAACGGTGAATATTTCTGTCTGGTTATCTCAAAAATGTTTAGTGCAAACGATGTCGAAAACTAGTTTGTTATTATATTTGACGTTCATAAGTACTATTGGCAAAGGATATGAATTATTATTTAACCATCAGTATATAGATACTTGCTATGGAGTAGATACATAGGAACTGTTTTTTTTTTTAACTAGTAAATAATTTTGGTTGAATTTTTTAAACAAATATTGTTTCGTGTTACCAATATGTGTTTTAGATTCTGAATAGATAATGGAAGCAATATTAGTTTCACAGTTTATTATATAATTTTACTCCACAGCAACTCCGCTTTATAAAAATAAATAGTGCAGTAAATTCCCTTATAAAGTGAATAGAAATTCAATATGAAATTATGATTTAATTAAATCAACTGAATTATTTTTATGTATTTTTCAAGAAAATTTAAAAATTAAAAAAAACCTGTAAAAAGCATAGCAATTTATGGCAAATCATTCTTTAATAATCTTTAGGAGTATATTTGTTCATTATTCACATTTTGGAATGAAATTATACTAGAAATATATTGAATTTATCTTTCAAATATTAAAAAAAAAAATTCTCAAAAATATACTTGCTTGAATTCCTATTTAATTATTTTTATTATAAAATGTTGATAAATAATTAATGGTTGAGAGCAGTGATTCTCAATTTTTTTCAGCCACGGAGGTTTTTTTTAGCCAATATTTTCTCATGGAGCCCCAAGAAATATTTAGTGTTTATGCAATAATTACGTAACATGTGCGGACGCTCGGTATCTTATCTTATTGTGATTATTATTCATATTATTATAATTTAATGAGATATCGAGTTTGTTTGCGCATGTTACGTAGTTAATTAATGTATTATTTTTATAAAAAGAAATTATAATTGTCAACGGATTTCGGACTGCCGTCACCAGGCTAAATCCATCGCGCCAACGGACGCCGATATCGGTGCACCTACCTATAAAAGGCACCGTGGCGTTATGGAAAGTCACCATTTACTGTCTCTCCAGTGTTGTAGTACGACCTTCCCAGGCAGACTTATGCTACATTGGAAAACAGTATCCCCTCGACCTCGATGAACGATAGATTTATGTTGGACAGTGGTGTAATAGTCGGAGTTATTCTGGCATTGTATCGATCAACATAACCATCGGTTTATGGGGCAATAGTCAGAGTAATTCCGGCATTGCACCGACTGTATTATCGTTCGTTCGAGGTCTTTATTCCCGTCGACGCGACCTATCCGTTATTCGTTATAAGCTCTCCGAGCACAAATATATTATTAGTGTCATTGAGCTCTCCGAGCACAATTCTTATTATAATAAAAACACATTTTTTTTCATCATAAGTTGTGTTTTTTTTGTGCGTTTCTCCGATTCAAAACGTTTCATTTAGTATTGTTTTATTTACCTGTGTTTTACAAAGCATATAACACATAATATTTATTTTTATAGGAGGAAATTCAAAACAAAATAGTGTATAATTAATATAATATTTATATATAATGTACCTGGTCGGAAAATAACTGGAATGGGAATGTGTATTATCTGAGATGAAAAAATGATATTTTCCTATCGGGATTTTAATATTGTTTGTATACGTATTGATGAATGATATTTGAATTGATGGACACTTATAAAAGTATATATACTCGTTGTTTTAAATAACAATCAATAATTTTACAATATTACATTTCCCGTGATAAAACGAACGGAGCACTCAAAAAATGAATTCGGAACCATAAGAGCTCCGTCAAGCACAGATTAGGAACCACTAGTATAGAGGAATCAAATAGTGAGTTAACTATTTTTATAATTTACAATTTTGTTTATTTAAAATTTGAATTTTATCGAAATTATAAATCTAATTTAATTATAAAAATTATTATTTTCAAAATAATATTTATTTATTTTTTAGTATGCAATAAAACGAATTCATACTAAATAAATATTTTTTTTTTTCATCTGGTTAACTATTTAATTATATTATTATGCATTTTTATAAAAATATGTATTAACTATAAAATTATTAAAATTTTCTATGATATCATAAGTTTATTGTATAACTAATTAATATAATTAAGACTTTTGAAATTTAAGTCCATTTTATGTAATTAAAATTATTAACTATTCAATAAAACATTGTATATGAGTCAAACATATCAAGATAATAGCACACTAAAATTAAATATAATAGTATTTCAGTTTGTAAATCAATGTAATTTTAAAAGAAACTAACAATCTTTAATATTATTTCTTATTAAATCAAATCGATATCATTGCTTTTAGTATAATTTGAATAAAAATAATATCCCATCTGGTAATTTTTTTTATTTGTTATTTATTTTCGTAACATAATGAAATTTTTAATGGTTATCACCTACACATTTTAATTAACCTTTGATAGTGATAAAGAAAAAAAATTATATTCTAACTTTTAGTATGAATAATATTGTTTACAAAAGACAACATAATATGTTTTACTAAAAGACCGATATAAATAAAAAACTAAGTAGCTGGTATTAAATATTTAATATTTACTTTAAGTTATTTTAGTCAACAACTATCGTAAATTATACACATTCTATATCAGTATAAAATACTACTTCAAAAAGCGATTAGAAGAAAAATAATACTTTAATTAGATATTTTCTAATGCATGTTTAATCTATGTATCTGAAAAATCTACAACAATCTAAAATGTATAAAGAACTACGTCTTCCATCAATGTAAATCTTCGGAGCATATGAATATGATCTCAAATAAAAAAAAAAAAACTTTTTTTTTTTCAACTGAAATTAAACTATAAAATCCAACAAATCAAATCTATATCAGTCTGAGATAAACACAATTATACTGTAGATGAACAACACTTATTCATATTGAACAAAGAGGTAATTTTTGTCAAATAAATTTCTAAATATAAACGATTTAAAGAAGTTTTTATTTAACAAAAATATAAAATATTAGGAGCTTTGATGATGCTTAATAATCAACAAAATACTTGAATATTTAGTTATATTTTTTTTTTTTTTTTTTATGAGAGAAGTACTTAACTTTTTAGTTTATTCATGAAAATAAAATAAAATATATCCTATTCCTTATAATTTATTTAATTTTAAAATATAGCAAGGTCATAAAGAAAAATGTTGAACCAAATTTATGAAAACTCTTAGTTAAAATATTAAATTCACTAATAAGTGACTTTTTACCTGAAATATCATAGTAAATATAAATAATATGTACTTACTTCATATTTATTTAAAAATTACCAAGTTATTTATGCATATTATTTTATGTAATGAATAATTCATAATTTACAAATGACCATTACATTAAAAAAATATGTTCTTTAAAGTTATTATTTTTCCTAAATAATATTGAAAATAAAAAATCATACTTTTAACTTTGTTGGATGGTGTGGATCAAATCTTCCTGGTGGACTAGCTTCACCTTGAAGGTTATCTAAGTCTTTAGTTCTAACCATACGAGAGATTAGGGCTAACCCATCTCTTCGGAAGTCTGTTGGTAGTTTAGGAATCGACATAGTGATCTCCTTATCACGACTAATTCGATATTTGAAAGTCTAAAAAAAAAATATATATATGTTAAACATAATTTTAAAAATAAAACATTTTGGTCATATATACAATATTTGTATCAATATAAACCGTATCATAATATAGATGCTAAATTATTTGTTAATGTAGATGAACAGAGTTTTTCTAAGTAATCAAAATAGTAGCAATTAATACTTGGACTAAACTTAAATGCATATAAAAACTGCATAAAAATTTACTAAATTAAATGATTTTTTTTTTTTAAATATTTTTCGAAAGTTTACAGAATAATAACTAAATTTTTAACTTGTTTATATTCCTAATTTTTCACTATAATTTATAATTTTTTATGTTTCTTATTCGTTATTGTCTGTAATTGGCTAACCACTTTTTATTAAAATAATACAAGGTGTAAGAATTTTTGATGAATCATTCCATGCCAAACTAAAAAACATGAACAGTGCTCGTCATTACAATATAGGAAGAAAAACACTCAATAGACGTCTGTGGCCTCGGCTTCCCCAGGATATTCTCTTAATAGACACGGAAGACTCATCGTCAGAGAATGAGGATCATTATTAATATACTAGACCTTTTTATTATATTCATATGTGTTAACACATAATTTTATACCCTCACTATTAATATTTATGTAATTAATAAATTTATAACAAACAAAATTGTAAAAACTAAAAAGTTGTAATAGCACTAGAGATGCTGAAACATTTTATAATTATAATAAATGAAAAAAAAAAATGAATCATTTAAATGTGTTTTTTTTCTTATTGCATTCCTATTTCCCATTGATAAAAATCGCCTCAGCTTATAAATAGAAAATATATATTAAGTAAACTGATAAATTTACTTATAATGAATATAAAATAAATTACAAACCATGATGATTTCAGTGAAAAATGAGTATCAAAAAACAGTAATTTAATTTTAAAATAACATTAACAATAAATTGATTTATTATATACATTCATATATATTTATTTTTATTACAAAATACCATAACATCTTTATCAATCTAAATAATAAATAATTATAAAATATATAATTCCATTAAATGCTAATCAAAAAATAAAGAATATATCATTTTAAAGTACATTAAAAAGTATTTATTGTATAATATATTTTTGTAACCTAATGAATAATAATATTTCAGTACATTTAATACCATGAACTATAAAGATCATTCTTCAAAAACTATTGTTACTGTTAATTGTTCTGTATTTTAAGGTAGAGGTCACAATGTTTTTCTAAATGTTTATCAATAATTTTAAATGGGTAAAAATCTATTTGATAGTAATTTTGAATAAAAAACATAAAAGTTGACAAAAGATTAAATAAAAATTTAAATATAAAAATATTTGAATAAATAAATACCCCAGTATTCCATCTGAGATAGGAAAAAATGATGAAGAAAGGATATTTGGATAGTAAACTTTATCCAAGCTGTCTTATAAAAATCGCTTTTTATATTTATTTATAAAAAGTATGTTATCATAGTAATACTAAAATAATTTAAGAAGTTACGTATAACGCGAATGATTCATTTACTATAGATACAGGAGTAATAAAAGCAAGGCAATTTTAAAAAGATCACCTTTTATAATATCGATATCGAGCACAGAATAGATTAAATATATTTCACAGTTATAGTTTTATAATCAATAACACACTTAACATCACTTTTAATTAAAATTTAATAAATATCATGAAAATAACCATGCCAACGAAAAAAAAGTAGACATAATTATTAAAATTTTTTAATATTGATTCTAAATTGATGATCGGAACAATTCTTTTCTTGTAAATCGTGCAGACAGGCCAAGAAATTATAAAAAATAAAAACATACACTATGGTAAAATCAATAAAATCCGTGTTTCACTCTGAATCTAAAAATGCTTATTTCCTGAAGAAAAACCAAAGTTCAGATATCAATTTTATCATAATTATCATTAAAACTTCTCAACAAAATTTAAAACGATAAAAAATATTTTCATAAAACTAAATTCTTCAAATAAATACAAATATTACGGAAAGCCAGTATATTCTGAATATGAACTGACTGAAGTTATAATTACATAGTTTTTAAAAAGAACATCGAACATTAACATTTTAATTCCAACATAACATAAATAACTGATTAGTTTAACGGCGTTGCTTCCAGTGTTACTGTAGATTCGTGACCAACCAGTAATTTAGTAATTCTACTACACTACCGATAGCAGAAAACCTACTAATTCTCTAATACAACAATAATGGCTAGAGCTTTCATGGCTTATGGCAAAAAAAAAAAAAACACTTTAATGTATAAAACTGTTTATAAAAGGTAAAGAAGTATAAGCATCATCGTAGTTCATTCATAAGTTTAAGGCGTTTCTGCGTGTATAATAATATACATATACGTACATTTTACACATTCTGACGTCACAATTTTCATTGATCCGACTTTGTTGAGCTGGTGGGACGTAAATAGCCATAAAAAACAACGACCGTATCACCGCAACTCACAAATTCATTATTAAATACCGTACGACGATTTGAATTATAATTTAACTTTTAACGTATAATATAATTTTAAATTACCTTCCATAAATAATTAGACAGCATACATTCATACTTCATAAGTTTTATTTTTCGTTCAAAATTAAAATTACTTTTTTTTTAATATTCTCCACTCTACTATTCGTCAAGTAAATTTTAAATCATAATTTTCTATTCTTACAATAAATTTAAAACTATAACTTACAGAGACACTTGTTAATTAAAATTTATGAAATTATTATTTATATTAAAAAAAAAATCATCTTGCACTTTTTTAATATTATGTGTAGTAAAAAATATTACATGAACTGTAGGAACTTCCACCATCGTTCTATCACGGCCACATGTATTATTATTGTATAAAAAGTGATCCTCCCCTGTGGGGTTGGGGATTAGAATACACCCACAGTAACTTCTGCTTATCGTAGAAGGCGATTAAAAGGAGGTAGCGGAGGGCAGCAGTAACCGCTACTACCGACCATTGGCGAGTTTTACAACAGAACTAACGGCAATGGAAGGATTTGACGGAGGCAGTTTGGGCATATTCCAATCACTGGTCTGTCAACTGCGATGTGGAAGGAGAAGGATACTACCACATTAGAACTCCTAGTAAGCAATATGAATCGAAGTTATGAAGAGATGGAAGTTACTAGACCAGATATATTCGAAAATATCAGTTGTCTCGGCAGGAGAAGAAGCAAGGCTTCTCAGGTCGTTAGCAAGCGAAAGCCTTGCCAAAACATTGGAACGTGGAATGTGAGAACTATGCTGAATACTGGAAAGCTGGAAAATATTAAAGTTGAAATGACAAGGTTAAACATAGATATATTGGGTGTAAGTGAAACACGATGGGCGGGAAACGGAGATTTCTGGTCCGATGATTACCATGTTATTTACTCTGGAGGTGAAAGAACAGGAAGGGCCGGAGTTGGAGTAATAATAAACAAGAAATGGGGAAAACAAGTGATAAATAAGATAGCGTACAATGACAGACTTATAATGGTGAAATTCAAAGCTGAACCCAGCGATATCGTAATAATTCAAGTATATTTCCCAACAACTGAAGCAGAGTACAACGATATAGAAGAAATGTACGCAGGACTCGAGGAACTCTGTAAATTAACGAAAGGAAGTGACAACTTAATAATAATAGGGGATTGGAACGCTGTTGTAGGTGAAGGTGTTGATGGGCAAGTAGTAGGAACCTATGGATTGGGTACAAGAAACGAAAGGGGAGACCGACTTATAGATTACTGCAAACAATATGACTTAGTCATAACAAACACATACCAAAACATTCATCGGAAAAAAAGGTATACGTGGAAAATGCCAGGGGACATTGGACGATACCAAATCGACTATATATTGATAAGAAAACGCTTCAGAAACCAAGTTCGGAGATGTAAAACTTACCCAGGCGCCGATGTGGACAGCGACCATAATCTCTTAATGATGAAAAGCAATGTTACATATAAAAAACTGAATAAACCTACACAAAAGGAAAGAAGATATGACGTGAATATGCTAAAAGATCGGAATACAGCGTTAGCCTATGAATCATGCATCAGTAAAACATTCAAAGCACCCTCACAAAATGACTCAATAAATATAAGATGGGAAGCAATCAAAGAAACTATACATAATGCGGCCAATAAAACTCTTATAATAAATACGTTAGATCCCAAAAAACCATGGATAAATGAACAAATTCTAAAAGATATTGAGGAAAGAAGAAAGTACAAAAACTCCAAAGACAACCAGGGAATAAGAAAATATAAAGAACTTAAAAACAAAATAAACAGAAATGCAAAAGAAGCAAGGGAAAAATAGCTGGAAGACAGATGTCATGAAGTAGAACTATTACTAAAAGAAAACAAAATGGACCAAGCGTTCAATGCAATAAAAAAATTTGTCAGTAATAAAACCAAAGTTAACAATAAAATAAGATATGAAAACGGAAATCTACTAATAGACAACGAAAACATTGCTAATAGATGGAAACAATATCTTGAAGTTCTGTATCAGGGTGAAGAGATAACAAGCCTTCATAATAAAAGTAATCCAGATTATGAGGGTGCACCAATCCTAAGGGAAGAATTCAACCAAGTCCTTAAAATGAAGAAAACTAGGAAATCCCCAGGTGTAGACAATATATCAACAGAACTGATCCAAAATGCAGGTACAAAAATCCAGAACGAATTATTTAAATTGGTTAATGACATCTATATAACTGGAGAAATACCGGAAGATTTAAAAAAAAACATTATAGTTACTCTCTCCAAGAAAGCAACAGCTGAAAAATGCAATGAATATAGAACCCTGAGTCTGATGATACACTCGGCTAAAATCCTAGTAAAAATAATAGGTAACCGGATAGAACATAAAATTGAAAGGCAATTAAATAATGATCAATTCGGATTTAAAAGAAACAAGGGTACTAGAGAAGCGATCTTAAGCCTAAGAACATTAATTGAAAAACAGATCGAATTTAACAACGATACATTTATCGTATTTATCGATCTGGAGGCATTTGACACAGTTCCCTGGAAGGAACTTTTTAAGACATTAGAAGAAATAGACATTGATTATAGAGACAGATAGTTAATATACAACATATACAAAGAGCAATTAGCTATAATAAAAGTGTCAGACAAGTCTGCAAAAGCCAAATAAAATTGGAGTGACAGTAAGAGGAGAATTGATATCATTTTTAAGATTCGCCGATGACATAGCTATTGTTGCAACCAGCGAAAACGATCTCAAAAGAGCGTTAGAAGAAATAGCAAGGGGCTTCCAAAATTATCACCTTAAAATCAATTGGAATAAAACCAAGGTAATGATGTGTCAAAAAAAGAATCGTATTCATAGATTAAGAATAAAAATTGATAACCACATTCTCGATCAAGTGGAAAACTTTAGACATCTAAGTAGTATAATTAGCCAAGATGGAAAATGTACTATGGAAATAAAAGCAAGGATCGCTCAAGCAAAAACAGCATTCATGAACAAAAGGAACCTACTGTGCTCTCAAAGCATGAGTATACGTATGAAGAAATGGCTGATAAAGGTATATATGTGGAGTGTCGCACTTTATGGATGCGAAACATGGATATTAAACAAAGCGGAACAAAAGTTCCTTGAAAGCTTCGAGATGTGGTGCTGGAGAAGAATGTTGCAAGTAAGCTGGATAGAAAGATGAACTAACGAAAACGTTTTAAACGAAATAAATGAAACCAGGAAGATACTTAGCACCATAAAAGAAAGAAGATGGAATATGATTGGTCATGTCTTAAGACACGAAGAAGAGCTTCTGTATATTATAATAGAAGGGAAGATGAATGGCAAAAGAGATCGAGGACGACCAAGAACGTCTTATATCAAAAGGATGATCTCCGATGCGGGTCTAGCAAACTATAAGGAGCTGAAGAGGCTAGCTGAAAATAGAGATGAATGGAGAAATTTCGGAAAATTGCAAAACCAACCTTAGGGTTGATCACAAAAAAAAAAAAAAAAAAGAAAGAGTGATCATTTTAACATCATCCTATGTGATAACTGAGAAAACGATATGATGATTTTAATTTAATTTTAATTACGAAAAGAAATAATCACAGAATAAAAAAATTTTTACTTGAATTTTGTATTTAAAACAAAACGAATAAACGAATAGAGAAAATAGTATTATTGTATCTATTTTTATCTTGACCAGACTAGTATAAAATATTAAACAAATATTTTTCTCGGTTGTCTAAGTTAGAAAGTAAAAAAATGTATGAAGCCTAATGTTCTAATTAAATTATAAATTACTTATTTTCTATTTTCTACACAATTCTAACACCTACATAAAATAGCAAATTTTATCAAAATACATAGGTTTTTGTTTTTAATATTTAGTCATTTATCATTTGTATGTATAATTATAATTATGTATAATTATATATTTATTTTTATTTGGTAATAATTCTTCTAAGAAAATGTTAACTCTAAATCACAATTTGTACCATAAATCAAGAAAAAAACAACCAGCAAAAAACTTAAAAAAACTTTTTTTTATTACACTTATATCTATCACTCATTTTTTAAAAGCTTTAATTTCTTTTGTTGTTAATTTATACCATGATTCAGAGCTAGAACGGTGGCGTTCATTTTGAAGTCATGCATATTGTTACTGATCTTAAGAGGAATACAATAGATGAAGGATTTACTTTTTTCACTTTGTTTTTAAGTGTTATTTCATACGAAATGATTATTCATTACACTGTAATGAATCGGAATAACTATTTTCATTTTTTTTCACGGATATAATCAAATGCTGTTTAAAAATATATTCTTAGGTTTTAGAATCAACATTACAAAATCAACACTTTAATAATTTTTATATAGTTCATATAAAATTATTTGGTCACTTAAAAACTTATTTTAATTTAATTCATAATTTACATTATAAATCACTTTATTTTTAATAGTAGAAAGTACTAAGCTAATGAAGTGTAAAATTATTAATATAAATATCTTATAATTATAGAATTCTCTAATAAATTATTACGTATATCTTTTAATATTTACATAACAAATTAAACTGTCAATGAAATAATTATAAATATTATTAAATACATTTTTTATGAAAATTCAAACTGAACTAAGTAATTATTATTAAATTATAATAGTTTTTTTTTATTGTAGACAGTAAATTTTGTACTACATTTTTATAAAAATAAGTTAATATAAAATACCTAATATTTATCATTTTTACTACGATGCTTTAAAAGCACCATAAATAACAATGGACGATTATAGAATTTGTTATTTGTCTACATATGAAATGAGTTCTGAGTTTTAAAATATTTATAATAATTATGTCTTGGATGACTTTAGGTAGATTACAATCACATTATATTTTCAATTTTAACATTATTAGGAATATCTAATATATATTTTTACCTAACGTATGATTATAAATGTTTTTTTCCAAATTTTATAAAAATATATATCACTAAAATTTCATAAAATGCATTATAGTGTAATAAAAATGAAAATATTTTAAATAGTTAGTCAAAGCATAAATACATACAGTATAATAATAATAATAGTAATATGAAATATGATTTGAAAGAGTTTCAAGAGTTTGAAATATGGTTTAACTTCAGTGATGATAAAAATATATAAGCAATTATACCAAATTTAACTGATAAACAGAAAATAAAATTTAACCTTTACATAAAAGTAGTTATTTATTATGGGTAAACCGGTACACGATTAAGTATTCACAGTGATGATATCCAAAAAAAAAAAAAAATCCAGGATTCAACCAGTGTATTACCTACATTTTTTCAATACCGGACTAGTATATGTACTACTTCTTATGTACCCCCCGGTGTTTAGGATCCCAAATGTATTCTAACATTCCTTGATGTTATACATATAGACAATCTTTTATAAAAATTAGGTGCCTTAAATCTATTGTTCTGCCATTATTAACTAATTTTTAATGTAATTATAATTTTTCTACTCTAACAAATTTTAAAAATTAAAATGATAAATTATTCCCTGATGCTCGTATAAACTTTTTATGATTTGTAACAAACGTTTTAAACAAAAACGTTAAGCTATTTTAAAACAAAATATTATAAAACACCTTATTTTAATTATAAGCTTTAGACGAATCTAATTTATATAATATACGATATCTGTATTAATTACTACTTCCGGCTTAATTTCAATGCATCAATACGAACAACAATTTAGTACTATAATATCAAAGATAAGTTAATACTGCTAAATACCAAAACCGGTCTGGGCATGGCGATTTGATTTGTTCCCATTATTGTTATTACATAATTTTCGACATAATTATTAAGAAAATAATATTTTAAATTACAAATGTGTTTATAAAAATATAAATTTATAAATTTCCTTCACAATTTATAATGAATTATTTATTTTCTCTCAAAATCTAATTAGACTATATGGACTGAAATAACTGTGGAATATAATGTTACCAATTTTGTTCCTAATAACGATTCACGTGTAAAATTAAAATCACTTTTATATACTAAAAACAATTGTATTGTAAAAATTTAAATATTTACTCTTTTTAAGTTAAATTGTAACTACAAAAAATAACTGCCCATAAGTTTCAATGTTTTGTAGAATGAAAAAAATTTGAATGCACAAAAAAAAGATTTACATCTCAGTATAAATCTCGACGTTGTTTCAATATTATTGAGCGTATAAAATATTTAGTAGCTCATAAATAATATGAACAGAAAAATTATATTTGTAGAAAAAATATTCATTACAGATTGAATGCAATCCTAATCCAATACGTTTTCATGATTATATATTAGGAAATATATATTTATTATTTCCTACTGTTTTTAATATAAATCCCAAAAATTATAAGGATTCGATAAGGATAACGATTCAATACAAATTGTCGAAGTTTTTTTAATTTTTCAGTCAACAAAAAATGTATACATGACATTTTTAAAATACAACTTAAATGTGTGTAAAAAAATTAAAACCAACATATAACGAAAGTTTTCTAAGATCATGTTTGGACACGAAAAATCAAACTATTAATTTCTAACTCGCTATTGAATTAAAATTATTATATTTATTGCAAAATTCATTTTTTCGATCAAATTGATTTTTTAAATTTAATTAATAATTTACAAAACAAAAAATACGAAATGAGTATAAAATTATTTTGAATCCAGTGAATAAAATACAGTTTTATAACAAACAATTCGACCTTACTTATACTATTACTTATATAATATGCTCATTTTTTAAAAATTCAGGATGAATTTGCTCTCATTCTTAGTATTCGA